TGATGCCTGATACTTGATCCCATGGACACTTCAGTGGCTGGGGGTTTTGAACGTCTAACTTTGCGGTTCGTTAGCAGTCTCTGTGTAACCACTGCCACCAGGGCTCCTCCTCTGAATCTGGGACCCAATCTAGCTGGCTCATTCTTAAATAGCTCGCAAACGATGTTATAAATAGCCGAACGGCCCTTGACAGGAAAAAAAAAATGTTCCTCACCTCTCTGAGGATCACTCTCCTTCAGAATCTCCTCGACGGCAGAGCATTGGCTGGCCTGGTTTATGATACTTTATACTTTCAAAACCAAACTCGCTGCCAGCTAGTCGATGCTGACGCATAGGACAGGCTGGGCCTCCGCCTCAGAGTTTTCGAGACGGAAACTGATTATGGGGGTAGGAAGTACGATTGTTCTCCCAGAGCAGCTGGTGGCTTCAAACTGCCAACCTTGCCATTAGCAGCCCAATGTGTAACCACGATGCCACCAGAGCTCCTCGCGTTTGTGTTTTTGTTCTGTAGACATGCCCACCCAGTGCAGCACGGCGCTCCTCTGTTCCTGTGGTGGGAGGCTGTGGGGGGTTATTTTAGTAGTGACCGAACACCAGGGAGTGCTGTGACATGCCCTCCTGTGTCCCTGATGGCTGCTGAGCCCTCTGTGCTGTGCTGGGTGTGAGCCTAGTACCTTGTTGCTCCCTCAAAATCTCTCCCTCGCCATCTCTTTGGGGTTTGATGGCAGACACTTTGCTGGGGAGTGTTGCAAGATAGCGCCAATCCTTCTGTGCTTGTAAAAGATCGAAGCTCCCACGCTGTGCTTGCCGATCTCACAGCGACCTGTGTGAGACAGGTCGGGCGGGCGACGCAGAGTTCCGGCTGTGGTGTTGTCTCTTGAGAGCCTGTTTGTTGGCCTTGGCCAGCCTCAGCTCTGAGAGGGAGAGAGATTAAGCAAAGGACGGTGTGTTGTAACAGCTCCTATTTTGTAGTCTGGTTTCTGGACCTATGAGTCATATCCTTGTGTGTATTTCTAGCAGACAATTGGGCTTTCCTATTAAATATTTAAGTGTATAAGTATAAAGAAACCAGCCCCATGTCTTATTCCTTGTGGAAAATATGTTTTCCCCCAAGTTCTTCTTTGGGTGTTTGAAGATACTCTCTCTCTCTCTCTTTCCTCTCAAACAAACAGTGTCATTTTTACCTGGTAGGAATCACCTCTCTCTTCTCGGTTAATGTCACGTCTTCCGCTGTATGGAAGGTTGGAGCCAACTCAATTTCAGCTGGGGAGAAAGACGGGACTTTCCACTCCTGCAAAGAGTGACAGTCTCGGGTCTCCTCTGTCCCAGAGGGGTCTCTGTGAGTCGCATCGACTCCATGGCAAAGGGCTTCAGCTTTGTCTGCAGTCACGCTGAAGGATGCCACGCTGGGCTGCTAACTGCAAGGTCAGTAGTTTAGCGACCACAAGCCTTGCAGTGGGAGAAGGAGGAGCCTTTCTGTCCCAGTCAAGAGTTACAGTCTCGGAAACCCAAGCTTCTACTTGTCCCACAGGGTCCAGATGACAGAATTGGTTTGAGTTAATACATGTTCTGGGAAAGTTCTCCATTTCCTCATTGGTGCATGATCTGTTTAGCTCTTTGGCCCTTTCTTGGCTGTTTCTCATTTATATTAAAGTTTACTCTCTATCTCTATCTATCTATCTATCTATCTATCTATCTATCTATCTATCTATCTATCTATATATATACATATAAATGTATGTAACCGCATGTTACATTTATGCCTACATTTCTGTATTTTTATCCCAAATAAAAGCAGACTGTGCGGTTAAATTTGGATGTCAGATACAAACTCACTGCCATTGAGTCGATACCAACTTCGAGCCATTTTCCAGGACAGAGTAGAACTGCCCCTGTGGGTGTCTGAGGCTGGAAGTCTTTACAGGAACAGCCAGTCTCACCTGGATCCTGTGGAGTGGCTGGTGGATTTGAACTGCTGATGCTGCAGTTAATATCCCAACTTGTATCCCACGATGACACCAAGACTCCTTGACATCAGATAAGCAACAGACATTTTATTGCAGTACAAGTATTTATCAAATATTACCATCCTATTTAGACTGACATAGAAAGTAATGACCGTGACCTGGCAGTCTGTCAAAGAACCCTAGTGCTGCAGTGGTTCACGTGCTGGGCCACTAGCCAGAAGGTTAGCAGTTTGAGCCCACCATCCACTCTGAGGGAGAAAAACGAGGCAATCTGCTTCCTGAAAAAAATTCAGCCTTGGATACTCTATGGAGCAATCCTACTCTGTCTGACAGCACAGCCGTGAATCAGCATCCACTCAGCGGCAGTGGGCTTGGTTTGGGTTTTTATTTTGAGTTAGATTTAAGGTAATTTCCCCATTCCCACTATTCATTTTGTTTACCCACACTTACTTCCTTTCTATACGTGGCTAGCCAGTGGCTTACTTATTGCATACCCCCCCTCTGGCCCCACCCCCACCCCCTGGCCCAAAGACTTGGGGATAAACAAACTTTGTTTCAAATTGATCCGTTTTTGCTTGCTCTTTATTGCTTCTGGCTGCTCTTCATACTAATCTCCTAACTTGGACACTTTATTTGAAGTGAAGTGAAGGCTATGAATTTTCCTCAGAGTCTTGCTTTAGCTGCATTCTGGGTAGGTACTATTCTCAACAGTATTTTCAGGATGTTACTGTTTGGCTTTTGATTTCCCGTGTGAACTGCAAAGCGGTTAAAGGGCTGGTGGCCTGGAGCTGTTTGTCTGCTGGTGTTGCTAGCATACAGACAAGGCTGGACCAGTTCCCCAGGGAAGGATGGAGAGGAGGGAGGGGAGTGGGGCTTTCCGCATGGGTCTCACAAGCCAAGGAGGGCTTCCCAGGAGGGCAGGGCAGGGTCAGAGTGCACTTTCCAGGGCATTGAGAGTGGGTTGAGGTGGTGCCGATGACAAGGATGTTTGAGATTGATAAGACAGATAAGACAGAACATCAAAGGGCTCCGTCAGTCTTGGGACTGACAGGTTCTGATCATGTGTGCAGAGTCCCAGGGCCAGAGAATCTCAGATGTCCTGGGGTGGTTAGTCGAGGATATGTTGATCTGAGGCCAATGACTGCAGTAGTGGGAGCGAAGACCAGTTCTGTTAGTATCCAGAGACCTGGATACACAGGCACCTCACTGACAGTGACTGGGAGCCTGTCTGGGATGAGACCACCACACGGCACATGACCCGGCTCTGGGTCTCACCACAACTGAAGCCCCTCAACTCCCATAAAGCCCTTTCCAGCCCAGAATCCACTTTTTTTGCACCTCAACCCCTGAGTCAGACTGACCCTTCAAAATCCAGAACCCCACGGGTGATTGCACACATATGTGAGTGTTCACAGGGGGTCCCTCCGAGGTCACAAGAGGGTCAGAGCAGGCATGGCCACACTCAGCGCCATCTCCCTTGCCATCTGAAGGACACACCCGTCAACCAGAGCCTTGACCCTCCCCACCCAGACCCTCCAGATCCCTCCTCACTCAGGCCCCGTCCCCAGACCCTTCTATCCATAGAGAGGCTGAACAAATCAAGGTAGTGACCATTGAAGCCAACTGAGTCACAGTGAGCATGCGCGCACACTATAGAATTTCCTAAATGAGGAGGGAAGGAGACAGAGTGGAGCACATCCTGGCCCACCAAGCCCCGGGGACGATATTTCAGCTCAGAGCAGCCAGTGCACAGAGAGGACCATAGGGCTGGTCCCACCAGGAGACAAGATGTCCCTCACTGACCCATAGTGCTACGGGTGACAACACTGGAGGCACAGGGCGGAAATTGTGCCTGATCTGACCCCACCACACCAGGGTGAAACGCTGAGGGCCTGCAACAGAGCAACAAGGGGAGCAGAGCAATGAAGTCCCCAGGGAATACCAAAAATAGACTTTGGGGCCAGGGCGTGGCACCCCATCAGACTTGAAACACTCCTAAAGGTCAACAGACAGACCTGGAACTTTTGTTTGTTTTTAAGAATTTCCTATGACTGACATTTCAGAAGTAGACTGCCAGGCTTCTCTTGTGAGGCACCTCTGGGTGCAATTAAACCTCCAGTCTTTTAATCGCCCAGCCTGTTAGCAGTGTGCACCACATGGGGCCCACATACTCTGTGCCATCGAGTCATGCTGACTCACAGCAGGGTAGAACCGGGTAGGGTAGATTCTCCCACGGGGTGGCTGGTGGTGGTTTCGAACTGCTGACCTTTTGGGTGTCCACAGCATCGATGAGGCCCCAGCTCTAGGGAAGCTGAGGGATGTGGCCTTGTGTCCTCCAACGTTGCCTGGCTCCAAGGACAGGACCGCTGACCCCACAGCCAGCCCCCAGGTCGGCCCCACTGCTCTGCACGTGCTTGCACGGAGCAGGCGGGGCCTCGTCTGTTCCCTGCAGCCCCGCCCCGCTCTGCGCCCCGGGGTTCCCCATGGCGAAGCGTCAGGCAGCGGGCAGAAGCTGGGCAGCGTGAACAGGACCTCCACTTTAATAGGACACATGTGCGCAGTAAGGAAGCTCCCAGGGGCTGGGAGAGGTGCAGAGGGAGGGAAGCCGGGGCTGGTGGGAGTCATCACCCACGACGCTGGCTCCTCCCTCCTCCTGCCCCCAACTAGGTAGAGGCCCAAATGGCCCTGGGAGGACCAGGGTAGGGCAGCTTTCCTTAGTAGCCGGCCGCCTCCCCGCCCTTCCTGGGGTCCGACACGGCGACCACGCAGGGCCCCTCCTGGGACACAGCCTGGACCACATTCAGGAAGTAGGGTATGCGGGTCTCTTTCTGACCCCTGTCCCGGAGCCCCGTCCGCACCTCCTGGAGGGGAGAGAGGGTGGGCGGGTCAGAGCATGAGAGGTACGTGCCTCTCTGTGCTGGGTCCTCAGGAGGGCTGGGGGTGTTTGGTGGAGGAAGAAGAGTCGAAGGGCCTCAAGAGCAAAGCCCTCAAAGAGATCACTGGGCTTTGAGTTCTCCGTGCCCAGGGACCTCCGCACACTGAGGAGGGAAAGGCTCGCGTGGCAAGTGTCCGGGGCCTGCCAACCTGCGGGGGTACAGTGCGAGACCTGAGATCCCCCCAACACACGAGGAGACACAAGACCTGTGACACCCAGGAGCACCAGCCCTGAGGTCCCCCCACACACAAGGGGACTCAAGATCTCAGCTCTGGGTCTTGGCTGTGAGGGACCTCGGATAACTGATGTCTCGAGTCCAGAGTCTAGAATGTTCTTGCTGAAAGACTCGCACAGATAAGACCTCGACTCTCCAAGAGATGATGGGTTGCAGGATTCCACACACCCTGGGTTCTAGACTCTCATCTCCCCAAACCTTAGAGTCCAAGGTCTCTAAGCAGAGGGTCAGCCAGAAGAGCAAGGCTCTCAAGGAGATGGACTGACACAGGGGCTGATGCCACAGGACGGGGCACTGTTTCATTTAGTTGTGCTCCGGGATGCTGTGGCTCAGAACTGACCCAATGGTGACAACAAGGCCCTCAAAATGAGCTTGGGTGATGTAGTGCCCGTTATATAATCTGCTGCCAACTTGAGACTATTAAGAGTGGAGGGGTGGAGTTTAGCCTGTCAGTCAGGTCACAGCTTGATGACCTCATCTGGAGACACTAAGGAGATAAATAGCTCGCTGGAGGCAGGACATAATCCCTGGGAGACATTCCTGTTGACAAGAAACATCGAGTTACGCCAGACCCCTGGAGCTGAAGGAGCCAGCTGGAGACCCCTGCCAGCACTGAGATGCTTCCACCGCCACTGGACCCACAAGACCTTCCACCCACAGGCCTGTGGTCTTCCTGCAATCGGCATCATTGCATGTGTTGTGTGAGTCTGAAGAGGAATTTATAGATTAGTATCATGCACATGGGCTAAAACTAGATTTGTGGATTTGATCTGGACTGGGCTGGGGTGTTTTCTCAATGTACAATTGCTCTTTGATATAAAGTTTTCTCTTACACACATATGAGTGTCTAGGAATCTGTTTCTCTAGTCAACCCAGAAGAACACAAGTGGGTTGTGTGTTGGGCTGCTAACCTCAAAGTCAGCAGTTCGAACCTACCAGCTGCCCTGCAGGAAAAAGATGAGGCTGCTTGCTCCTCTGAGATTTACAGCCTTGAGAACCCAAAGGGGCAGTTCTACTCGATCAACTTGATGGCAGTGGATTTGTTTTGTCTTTTCTTTCTTTTCCTTCCCTCTCCCTCCCTGTCCACCCGGCCCCCCTTCACTCCGGCCTTTCCATAGCCATCCAAGTCTGCTTCTTTTGGTGTGAAGACCATGTCATTTATGACTTATTATTAATATTTTCCCATTCTACAATAATGGCCTCATACAGTATTTGTCTTTATGGAACTGACTCCATTTGCCCAGTGGGGTGTATCTTCCAAACTCAGCCATAGCAGGTTTGACACCTTGATCACAGTCCTTCAGGGATGGGGAGCGCTCCTCCGTTGCATGTATGTACCGAGATTTCTTCATCCGTCCTTCTGAGACTGGATCACGCTGCGATAAATGTGCATCTACCTGTCTGCATTTTGCTCTTTATACCTATAGGGCATGTACCAAGCAGAGAGCTAGATGAGTCATAGGGCATTTCTATTTCTGTTCCTGTTTGTTTGAGGAAATCCCACACCACTGTCCATAGTGGGTGTTCAGTTTTACAGCGGATGAGGGTTCCAATCGCTCCCCGTTCTCTCCAACCTTTGTTAGTTTCCATGTTTAAAAGTCTGCTGTCAGTACTGGCATCTCATCGTTGTTTTGATTTGCATCTCTCCAGCGGCTGGCTGGTGACGGCAGGCAAGCACGTTTGCTGGCCGCCTGGACGTCATCTTTGGTGAATGACCCATTCACATCTCTGCCCACTTCTAAATCAGATGACCCATCTTCTTGTTGACGTCTTGCCACGTCCTATAGCTTTTTGAGGCTAGCCCTTTATCGATAGATCGTTGCCAAAAGGCTCTCCCAGTCTGAGGTTTTATGCTCTGTATGAAGTTTTTTGATACTCACAAATGTCCTGTTTCCAAGAGGTTTGGGGCCTCTTGTCTTCTGTTCTGTGGATGTTGTTCGTTATGTTCACTCTGTCATTATGCCTGGTGTGAGGGTCTTTCCGGGTATCCCTATTTCTTCATTGATGACCTCTATCATCCTAGAGTTTACATTTAGGTGTTTGGTCTTTCTTGGGTTTGTCCTCATATACGATAAGAGTTCTGTTTCGTTTTTTCTGCAAATGGAGATGCAATTTCTCCAGCACCTGTTGTTGAAGAGACTATCTTTTCCCCCATTTAATGTGTTTCAACCCTTTGTTTAAAAAAAGAAAATCAGGTGTCTGTAGGTGCCTGATTTCAGTTTTGGGTCCTCTAGTCTTTGAATGGAGTGGTCTGCATGTCTGCCGTTGTACCAGTACCACCAGGCTGATCAAGACACTTCCGGCTTTGTTCCGCCTTTCCAGCCACGCCCTGCTTAGCTTGGGTTTCTTTCCTTTCCACGCAAAGTTGGGGATTCGTTTTTCCACTTCTTTGAAGAATGATTATGGGATCTGGATTAAAATTGCACTACATTTTTAAAAATCGCATTATATTTATAGGTTGCTTTGGGTTGTATTAACATCTTTACAATAGCAAGTCTTTCTATCCATGAATGTGGAAAACTCTTCAATCCATATAGGTCTCTTTTGGTCTCTTGTAGTAATGCTTTGTTGTTGTTGTTTTAATCATTTTATTGGGGACTCGTACAATTCTTATCACAATCCATCGATCCATCCATTGTGTCAAGCACATTTGTACATTTGTTGCCCTCATCATTCTCAAAACATTTGCTTTCTACTTGAGCCTCATTTCCCCCCTCCCTCCCTCCCATCTTGTAGTGCTGTTTGTAGTTTTTTGTACGTCTTTTGTTTTTTCTGGCTAGGTTTATTGCTAAGTATTTCATCTTTTAGGTAGTTATCATAAATGGCATTGTTTTCTTAATTTCCATTATGAAGTTTTCTTCTTTAGTGTGCAGGGACCTTATTGGTTTTTGTGTGTTCATCTTGTAGCCTGCCATGTCGTAAAGTTTTCCATTAGTTGTATCACTTTTTTTATTTTGGAGGGGGGCGTGTCGATGCTTTGGAGTAGTCTACGTAAGGAACCACATCATCTGCAGACAGAGCTGTGCTTCCCCTTTGCCAATTTGGATGCCCTTGATTTCTAGCGTTGGCTGATGTCCAGAATGATATTAAATAAGACTGGTGATAAAAAGATATTGTCTGGTTCCTGTTCATGGGGGGGGGGCGCTTTCCGTTTCTTCCCATGGAACAAAATGCTGGCTGTTGGTTTTGTGCATATGGCCTTTATTATGTTGAAGAATTTCCCTTCCATACTTATTTTATTTAAAAAAATTTTTCCCATGGGAACAGAGTTTATTGACTTTTCGCTGTGTGTCTTTGGTCTGGCTTCAGCTGGCTCCCCTGGGGGCCCCCTCAGGCCGTGGCTGCAGCATGTAAGGCTCTTTATTGCTTCTTCAGCATTTGCGCCTCCTGGAAAACCCAGATGCACAGAGCCTTGGTGGCCGCCCAGTGGCGGTGGGCGTTCCTGTTCCACAGAGGAGGGAAGCTATACTCTTCCTAAAGACAGTATAGCTGGCATTGCAAAGGGTTTGGGGACATTTTCTTCCTCTGGTTGATGCTCATGACAAAGCTTGTGGGCTTTGTTCTTTCGCTGTTTCTGCTTCATAATGGCAGATCTTGGCAGTCAGGCAACAACTGGACCCTCCAGAGAGCAGGTGCCCTCAGGGGGTTCCACAATCTTGTTTGTCAACAACCCTTCCTGGACTTGTAGCTTCTCCTTCTAGCTAGCTGCTTCCAAAGACACGTCTTTTCACAACATCATCAACGGTCTCAACGGCAGGGATGTGCTGGTGGTCTTTGAGCCATGAGGAAGGGAAGGGTCACCTTGCTGGCTGTGCTGGTTTCCTGAGGGCAACTCCGAGGGCAGCCTGAAGGGGGCGACCTCGAGGCTGCAGGCCCCACTTGTCACAGGGAAGCCTGGCCCTCCTCCTGTCTTGACACCCAAAGAACTGGGACCTGGGGCACTGCCAGGATCTGAATCAAAAACCAGTGCCCCCAGCATAAAAACCTAGGATCCTGACTGGGATGTCACCACCTTCACTGTCTGAGTGACTTGGGCTCCGCCCTGCTGGCTTAGGCTTGACCAAGCCAAGGGAGCACCAATCGGAACCCAAGAAGACCCTCGGCCTCTTTTATCGAAAATAGTGTTTTAGCTCTTCGCCATCTTCCCTGTCCTCTGCTGCCGCAGCCATGAAGGCAAGGCTGTGCAGGGTCAGCGGGGACAAGATTAACCCCGGACACGGGAGGCGCTACGACAGGACGGGCGGAAAGGTTTTCCAGTTTCTTAAATGGGAATTGGCATTCCTTTCCAAGAGGAACCCTCGATCGATACACTGGACTGTTCTCTACAGAAGAAGGCACCCAAAGGGGGATTCGGACGAAATGCAAAAGAAAAGAGCCGGCCGTGCAGTTACATCCCAGAGGGCCATCAGTCACGGGTGCATCTCTTGCTGATACAACGGCCACGAGGAATCAGAAACCAAGGAGAGCAGGCTCTCAGGGTTGCCAAGGAAGCGAAACTGGCAAACCGGGAGTCCACAAAGACCACAATGGCTACTACCAGGCTCCTTCCTTCCGCTCCCCGGGTTGGTGGGAAACGCTAAGTTGGCAGATGAGCCTTTCAAATGAAGATGCACCTATAACTCAAATGAAGGAAACAGAAAACAGTGTTTTACAAGGAGCTCTGGGGATACAGGAATTTTGCCTTGGGCTGTGATCGGCTGCAAGGTCAGCGGTTAGAAACCACAAGCTCCTCCTTGGGAGAAAGACGAGGCTTTCTACCCCTGTAAAGAGTGACAGTCTTGGAAGCTCACAGGGGCAGTTCTGCCCTGTCCTGTAGGGTCACCAGGAGTCAGAATGTACTCCCGGGCAGTGACTTTGGTTTGGGGGTGGCTTTGTTTTTGGGGGTGTGTGTTTTTTTGAGTGTTTTATGAAAAATGTGTGCTGGATTTTGTCAAATGCCATTTTCTGCATTGAGTGATAGGATCGGATGGTTATTTTGTTTCATTCATGTGGAGAGTAACATGAATCATTTTTCTAATATTGAGCCCATTCATGCACACTTGGTCCAAATCCCATTGGCTCATCACGTATTTTCTAAGCGGTTTTGTCGAATTGCATTGGCTAAGGTTTTCACAACTGTGTTCATAAGGGATATTGATCTGTAATTTCCTATTCTGCTCATGTCTTTGCCTGCCTTTGGCATCAGGAGGATGCTTGCTTCATACAATGAGTCTAGGAGTTTGCTGTCTTTTTCTATATTGGGGGGTAGCTTCTGTAAAATTGGTATCCTTTCTCCTCTGAATGCTTAGCAGGGCTTCTTGGTGACGTCATCTGGTCCTGGATTTGTTGTGGCGGAGAGGTTTTTAAAATCTATTGCTTCTCGTGTTGTAGATTTGTTCATCTTTTCCACATCCGTCTGTGTTCATTTAGGTAGGTCGTGTGCCAGGTGTGAGAATCAGCACTCACAGACTAAGGCCCTGAAAGACTGAGCCTAAAGTCAAGGTGGAAGGGTCCACCTTGACCTAGACCTGCATCCTGAGATCCTCCAGACTACAGACCCCACGGGAGCACCCAAGTCTCCTGCCACTGAGAGGATCCAAGGGCCCCAGACTCTGAGAACTTACACCTGATGGACTTAAGTCCTTTGTCCCAAGTCCTAAAAACCAAGGTCTCAAAGATTACACACCTCTCTTGGACCATCCACCATCTAAGGTCCTCAGAAAGGGTCGTGAAAGGAGGCTTGAGAGCAGGTAAGCCCCCCAATAGGCAAGATGGCTTTGAGAACCTTGGGTCCAGCTGGCTGAAGACCCCCTGGGGACCTACAGCTTGGCGTCCTGAACAGCCATCTTTCAAGTAAGTTCCACCTGCCAGCTCAAGGACACTCGGATGAAGCTGACCATCTCCCAGGGATGGGAAAAAGTTGCCCAAGAGAATTCAACCCCAACCAGACCTGCCCCCTGGGATTTTGTGGAGGAATTGAACACCACCAGTCCGACTCTCAGTGCCAGGAGCACAAATCCTTCTGCGGACATCCCCGGGACGAACAAGCCCTTTGAGAGATGAACCACACAAAGACAAGTGGCCAATCGTCTAAGGAAATGCATCGCCAAGAGGAATCATCTGAGAACCCACAGCTTCCAGAGGATGGAGACCGAGATGCTGTAATCCTTAGCCAGAAACACCAAGACTCTGCCCAGGAGTCCACAGGCCCAGATGCATGCTTCCCCACCTGAGAATCTCCAAGCCTCAGACAGCAGTAGCTGAGCTCCTCTCAGGGGGGTTGGGGG